AAATCTGGAATTGACATTTTGACTCATTTTAGAAGGTTGTCCTTATTGCACATGAAATGTCATTTTGTGCTGGATGACACAGAAGTTCTGTGCTCCTAGTTTCATAACTAAAAGGATCGTATGAATATTCCACAGTTTACTCTCTAGAGACGAAAACGCAAAACTCGAGCCAGCACGCTTCCCTTTCTGCTGTTAAGTCCAACGGAGGAATGCCGGACAAGACCTGCCAAAGCATCATTGGAAGTTGTTCTGTAACTTCGACTGATCATTAGAAGAAAAGATCTTTGAATAGAAATTAGAGTCGTTTCTCATGTGTCTTAAGAGAGTAAGCCCATATTGCTGAACAATATAAGATTATTCTTTCTATTACAGTCAAGTACCATATTTTTAAATCCCGCGATGAGATACCCCAATTCTTACTAGCTGTTCGTTTCATGTAAATTGTCAGTGACATTACTTTTGTTCTGATGCCTTCAAGTGAGTCGTCCAAGAAAGATTGGAGTCAATAATAAGACCTAGGTATCTCAAGCTTCCTACAAATTAATAGATTTGCCTTGCAATTTTAAAGGTGGTTTGCGTTTGAGGGATTTGAATGCCCCTATCGACATTGCTTGAGTTTTACTGGTAGAAATAATTACTTTGTGTCTTCGTGCCCTAGTTTGCTAATAACTATCCAGATAAGATTGAGCCGCAGAAGAAATATCCTGATTTACCTTTAACAATTCAGCATAAAATCGTCTGCAAAAGCTATGAAGTTTACAAGTCTGACTTTCCATCAAATTGTGGCAAAAGAGAGTCAGAAGAGAGTCAGCTACTATCATCCAGACATGGGACCAGAGACAAGATCCCTGAGGACACCCTTTTTGTAATTCTTGATCGTATTGTTCTGAATCTAAAGTCAGTCACTTGTATATGACGATTTTGCAGGATAACTTCGAATGAGGTCAATGATATATGCTGGACACACCAATGGTGACTGACCAGAGAATCAATCAATGTCCGGCCACCACAGTGGGAGTCAAAGGCTCCTTGTATATCGATGCTGATCAAAATCTAGTCCAAATGGTCGTTCCTATTCGATTGTAGTGATGAAATAAGGTCAGGTCGTAGATTGCATGCTCTGTAGAGCAGCGTCTTTTTTGAAATCCATATTGTGATGGATGTAGTATACTATTTTTCTGTAAATAATACTGCAGACGCCCTAAAATTACCCTCTCCAAGAGCTTATCTAAAGCTGGTATTAAACAAATTGGCCAGTAGGATTGCGGTCTAAGTGGATCTTTGTGCTGTTTTAAGAAAAGTACGACTTCTGCTCTTTTCGATTCTTTCGGAATGTATCGGAGTCGCCAGCAGGTTTGGACGTATGCAATGATCAATTCCGGTGCAATATTGAACAAGAACATTATCTAGGCCGTCTGGTCCGGGAGCCTTCTTTAAATTTAGGTGATTAATAATGCGTTCTAATGTAAGGATCTTAAGTTTTACTAACGTTTATTTTATTTTAAATCTTTACTATCACTTCTTATTTTCTACTTCCGGCCAGAATTATAAGCGTGAAGGAGTTTATGCAAAGTTGTCTGGCGAACGCCAAGTATTTAAGTGTGGCCTTTTTGCCAAGAATGGGAGAGGAAGCAGTGAGTTCGAAGCAGGCCGCTTACCTTAGAAGTTTTACGCAGTTGCTATTTGCCTTCCAGGCCAGAGGTTTTAATCCTCGTGATAAATTAAACGTATTGTAGTGTTCACAGTCTCTGTACTACATACGCTTCCTGTTATTATAAGGCCAATCTTATTCTAAAGTTAAATTAGAGTTTAGTTTTATTTTATATTTTACGTTAGACCCCGAGTGGAGGGTCATTGTATTCCGAAGTACGGAAGTCATTGTATATAAAGAAAAATAAAGGGTCTTGTATACCCTTCGTCTGTATCCTGTCTACTTACTACAATTAGTGAACATAGCTTTAGTAAGCTCTCTGTTCCTAGCCAGGTCATTGTATGTTTCCGAAGAAGGTTAGAAGAAACATTGAAGCTGATACTAATTCCAAAAAAATTGGTAGAGATTCTGGGAAAGAGAAAGATGAAGCATGGTTATTAAATTTAAAACGTAACTCTCGCTGCGTTGAATCATCTTCTTCTGGTAAATCTTCTTGGAAAAGCGATCTTAATACATGTGCTACCACTTGCTGTGAACTTGTAGCCGAAGGAAAAATTTGTATTGGAAGAGAACAAGGCTGGAAAACTTTATCGAAAGCAATTTGGAAGGCTGAGCCGTATTTTGTTGGGTGTTGGTACAAAACGTTCTCCAAGACGATAATTTGGTTCCCTAATTTTTTTTTTTTTTTTTTTTTTTTTTTTTTTTTTTTTTTTTTTTTTGTACAAGGCCTGAGATTTCTTATACTCTTGAAATAATGAAGCAGGATTTATAACTTCATAGGTGGCTTGTGCTCGTTTTCGCAATTTCCGTAACTTTCTTCGCTCAATTGTAAGTTTTTCATTCCACCAGGAGGTGGCTGTACGCGGACAAAACCTTTTCATTTTGAAAGCATTTTTACAAGCTTGTAAGTGCAGTCATTTTATTGTAAGTGTTATCCGAATTTGAAGTTGAGCTACAATCTTGAAAAGAACCGATTAATGATGAAATATGAGGAGAAAAACAGCTACGAAATTTATCCTTTCTTCCAAAGAACGTTTTAAATCTTAATTTGCCTAGGGATCTTAGAGTTGGAGAAAAACTGAAAGTAAAAGCTCGGTGATCACTCAATGTAATGCTATCACTTACTGTCCAATCTTCTATAAAAGAGAAATGGAAGGAGAAGTAAGAGTCAAATCTGGCCAACCCTTGGCATGTAAAGTATCGAAGGTTTTGGAGGAGCATCTGATTTATTAAGAAGAATCAAATTTTGAGAATCTATAAAGTCCAAAAGCGGAAGGGATCTAGAATTTTCATAGGGATATCCCCAAAGGGTGCTGGCAGCATTAAAATCTCCACCTAATATAACATTTCCAATTGGGTTTTCCTTTAGATAATCTAATTCGTGTAATAATGCATCTATGTCCTTACTAGGCTGAAAATAAGCTGCAATAATTAGCAATTTTCCTTCAAGGGTATCAATCAGAATCGAAACGCTGTGCTCAGTTTCTTTCCACAAAAGTGGTGACAAAGGTCCATTGTACACGATTGCAGCCAGATGGTTTAAGTAAAGAAATGTTTTGTTAGAAGATAAAGAGCCAATTAGTAAATTTTTGGACGTAATATACGGCTCCTGATAAAGACCCACTATACACCCCAGTTCAAGCTGTATTTGATGAATGTTGCTCGTTGCCGCTATAGATCTCTGTAAATTACATTGTATAAATTTCAACGAAATTCTACTTAAAGGTCCTAATATCTGTATTCTCGGTTCATTTGGCTGATTTGCTGCTTCAATTTCTGTCGATAGGTCGGGCATTTTGTTGAAAATGCCGTGTGAGTGTCTATTCAAATACTATAATAAACCTAGAACGATGTATAAAAGAAATTAAGCAAAAAATAAATAAATAAATAAATAAATAAAATAAAAATAAAAATAAAATAAAATGTTTTTCACAGATGATTGAGTATTTCGCATTCAATTAATTCAGTTCTTAAAAAATCAGTTAATTCAGTTAAATCTTAAAACACTTATTTCCTCGAAAAAATTCCAGAAAGGATTAAACATGATTTAATTCGCAATAATAAATGAAGGTATTATCTTTGTTGTTGCGAAGCTAAGTTTCTCTAGATTAGCAACAAATCCATTCTTCTACTGTTTCAAATGTAAACATGCAATGGCCGCCATCAAAAAAATTATTAGGCTTAGCGGCACTTGAACGACTTTAAAATTGTTGATAATTCTAAAAATATTGCATACAGATTTACTAAAGGCATAAAAGTCTTAACCGGAAGATAAGAACAACATAATTCAATCTTTTTTAAAGCAAAAAATGCACAATTTACAAACATATAAGAGTAAAGAAACTGAGATCGCTGAGCCGGGTAACAGAGTAGATATATATATATATATATATATATCGTTTTGGTGCGGCCGATTGCTACCAAAATACGAGGTGCACATCTATATGTTATAGCAGTCCTACGTACAAAATTTCAACTTTCTGAGGCTACTCGTTTTTGAGTTATGCGAGATACGTTCGTACAGACGCCACGAAAAATTCTCTTCAGAATTCATTTTAAAGCAGTTTTATAATTTTTTTTTTTTTTTTAATTTTTTATTTATTTTTTGAGGAAAAGAGTCTTTTATTCTGTTCTTACGTACAGATATTACGCCAAAACATCGTTAAATTGCATTCGATAGCGGTCAAATTGGATATTTTCGTTGAAATATGCTGCCTGAAACTTTTCGCGATTACAATATTTCCTTTTTACTTCGTACAAGGAAGTAAGAAAGGGCAAAATACGCGGAGAATGTCAATTTTCAAAACTATTTATTTGAATTTGGTTTCGGAAATAAACATTTTTTTTAATAAGTTCGGATGACAAATGTCTAAAAAGCGCAAAGCTACAGTCTTATACAGTATGCTGTAAGGCAGGATTTCTTAAACTGTGGGTTGCAACTCCGAAGGCGGTCGTAGGACCTGCAGCAGGGGGTCGCCAAAATTTAGCATTTTTGTAAATATTATGGGGTTCTGGGGGTTGCGAAAAAAAATCTCAGTGATAAAAAGGGGTCGCGACTGAAAATTTAAGAAATCCTGCTGTAAGGCAAACGTTCAAAGAAATGGCGATTGTTTTCCATAAAATAAAATTAAAGAAGCTATCCTCCGGTTCCATCCCCGTTTGTAGTAAATTATTCCTGCTGATAACACATGCATGTACATGCATAGGATTCTTTTCCCTGTGCAACCATTAATAAAAACGGTTTTCTCTTGTGACTGTTTTATCATTCACGGGTTGTTTGTTTATCAACCCTTGAATTAATCATTACCCGAAGGAAATAATAATATGATTTTTTGTTTTCCTTTTACAGTCCGCTTCGAAGGAACTGCACATCTTGCAGGAACTACTCTCTAGAGACTGCATAGATGAATTCCATGAAAGAAGTTCAGCAAAAGAAAAAAGGTGCGTATAATTTTATAACGAAGCAACAGAACTTAGAAAGTTATTCAAAAATTGTTTAATTATTTTATTCATTGGGGACAAAACTTTTCGAAAAATAAATAATAAATTTAAATGAAAAATTATGTAATTAATTAAAAATAAAAAAACGATACAAAATAATTGTTTAAAAAAATTAATAATAAAAAATCTATTTATCCAAATTTTGAATTTAATGCTAGATGTCCGTTATTAAAATGTAGTCTGTATCCAAGATAATCGAAGAAGAATGTCGTTATTTTAAAAAGAAAATTACTCAAAAACTGTTTGCCGTATAGAAATGTTTCCAATAGCAAAATGCTAGAAATATATCACATTTTCGTCTTACTATATAAAGCTCTGATATATGTTTCATTTAATGTTGCTCGACCGATTTCGAAATTATATTAGATCCTGAGTTAGATCCGGGGAATTGGGAACTAGAAAAACGATCATTCGGCATAAATGCTAGACATTAAAAAGTATTTTACCACATAATATTCTTTTTGTTCTATATAGTTACCATATAAGATTTTCTTAAAACGATGTTCATCGGTGTAAGGCATCAGACATTTAAATGCTCTGAACTTCGAGGTAAGATTATAGAAGTTAAAAGCTAATTTCTCTTTCTTGCCTCTGTTTGGTAAGATCTTGAAGATGAGAGGTACTTTCACCTGGTAAAATCGGTATTTCTGACTACCAAAGCAATAGCTGACTCGTCCTCCTCCATTTAGGCGCTGAGTGACAAAATCCTTTAAAATTTCGTTGATTTGTCAGGATTGGGGAATAGGATCGACATTACGCAGGGCGCAGATAGATGTTGAACCTACGCAGTGTACCTCAAAAACAGTACATGGTACTTCAAAAAATAGACCTAAAAAACACTGCCTCAAAAATAAGTTTCGTATTTTTGTCAGTGCCGATAACACACGATGTCAATTTTATGCCTTTAACACTTTGTGCCGCCCGACCGTCGGGTTAACATCGATTAACGTCGCTGACTATCGTGTCGTAGGGTCCGAGCTCGAATCCCGGAGAAGGCAGGGGTATTTGTAAATGCATAGTGTCCGGCGGCATGGGAGCACTCTAAATATGCGGCGAGCCGAAAATCCTCTCAAGAGGTTGGTGGTAGGGGAAGAGAAGTGGGAGACCCTCGGACCCGTTCCTCCCCCCGGGGGTGCTCTCCATCAAAATTTGGGGCGGAACTGAGCTAAATCGCATTGTCGCCTGTAAGGTGCTCAAGGCTGTTGCCAACGTCAGGCGTAAACTTGCGCTCCTTACCACGTGGAATTTTGTGGTCTTGGGCTGATTATATCGACAACATAACAGCATTAGTAGCAACAACAACATAACACTTCGTGCTGGCGACAAATGTCTATTAATTTTCTTACTCAATATTATATCATTATCAAAATTCCTTTTTTTTATAGTGTCGATTATATGCCGATAATTGAAGTCAGTCGTATGCGTACTCTGATTCTACGCCTTGTCGTTGCTATGCAGTGTTAGTCCACGCACGTCGATCCTATCAGTGTGAATAATTTCGCTACATTTTAACACTTGAATAATTTCGTTTTATTTCATAATTAAACATTTCGATACGTTAATAGCTTTCGAACGATTTCGATTAGCCCATTTTAACATCTGCCTGCCGGAATTAGTTGAGTGATGAACAAAAATGGGAAAGCAACTTACGTAAAATTTGTCTTAAAAATCACTTATCAATAAGTGGCATATGGTAGTTAATGATAATTAGAAACATAAATAATACAGAAATTGCTAAATTAAAAACACAGACACGCAATATTCTAAAAAACTGCTTCCTGAAATTTATCTTCCGCTAAAAAATGCCGATCAGTGCCCATAGATTTCGCCGTCGAGACAGCATTCACGGACGAATTATTTTATTCTTCTTAATGTCAGACTGCCGCAGTTTGAATTTAATTCCGAATGTCTGTCACTCTTTAGAACAACGTTTATAAGTAAACAAATGTTTATCGAGCATTTATTTGTTGCTTTTGGTTCTAAGTAGATATCACGTATATTAAGAACCATTCAACCTGTTTTCATTTTCAAATTCAGCGTTACTTGCCCTCATCTTTTCATTCATCCTTTTAGGGCCCACCAGCGGCCGAACGGTAAAGTCGCTGAACACTGGTAGTTCGGTCCGAGGTTCGAATCCCGCGAACGGGCTGGCTGCATGGGAGTTTTCGTGGTTTTCCCCATGTGTAACGTGTATACGAGCCAGTTTCCCTTAGAAAGTCCTCCACGAAGGCATTCCTCCCCTTAGGCAGATAATCCTAGTGAGCTTTGCCATAATTAAATACACACAACACACCTCTTAGGCAGATAGCCCTCGAGGCTTTGCCATATTCACACACACATCCTTTTAGGTTACGTGATTTGAGTTCGTATTAACAAGCTCTTAGGACCACCTGATCTACGGTTAATTAGCTCGAATTTATCTTAATTCGCATTCGATGTATTTCCGACATCGATCATTATATATCCTTTGTCAGAAAAGTTCCAGGACAATTTGTTTTTATTTCCGAGTTTGCAGTACTAAAAAGGAACAAGTGTTTTTATGTTACCTGGTATATAATCTTATTTGACATGATCTTGGCCATGTTCCCAGACAAACTTTCTAGGTGGCAGGGTTGCGCTTAGCAACACACTGTTCGGATTGTTGTCGCATTCGTTAAGGTGACACAATAGATGCTGATTGTGAGCAAAGAGTGAACATGAAGTTCTGCGTCAATTCGGGAAAACCCTTAGTGAAATGTAGAGCATGGTTAAGAAACATATGCAAGCGAAACACTTTCAAGAAATCGTGTTTTTAAGTGGCACAAAAGGTTTCGAAGACTGAGATTCGGTGTAAGACAATCCCAGAGCTGGTCGCCCGTCTACAGTACATACCGATGCAAACGTGGAGTGTGTAAAGCAGTTAGTGCAAGAAGACCGTCGTGTAACTGTGCGTATGATATCAGAAGAACTTAATTTCAATCTTGTGTCATAAGATTTTAGGCTAAGATTTATGGAATCGTAAACTTAATGCAAGAATCATCCCTCACTCACTAACAGATCAACAGTAGGAGGAAAGATTTTTATTTTCTGATAAACTATTGGATAGAGCGAGACGTGATCTCACATTTGTGTCAAGGATTATTGTGATTTTTTTTTCTTGTTTCCGTGAGTGAAAAGGTGACTGAAAGGAAAGCTTCATCAAGACTATTGCAGACATCCAACGGGATGACAAATGAGCTTGCAAGCATCGCAGTTGAAGATTTCCCTGCTTGCTTCCAAGACCTCCAGAAACGTTGGGAGTTGTACATAGATAGCCAAGGAGACTACTTTGATAGCAGGATCGTTACTGGTAAATGCAATTTTCTATTTTTTACGACCTTTATCCTGAAACTTTCTGACAAAGGATGCATTTCAAGTCTCCTAATGTTGTCGTGATTTTATGTATATGTAACCCTAAATTCATAAAAGAAAAGGAATATGAAAATCACTGTCAATTTACGAAACATTTAATCTCCTTTCTAAGACATTGCTTTTCGGGAAAAAAAAAAAAAACTCAGAAATGAAACCGAAATGTCATACCAAACAATTATACAGTGATTAGGTTTATCGAAGCGAGAAACGTGAAAATGTGGAATGCCCTAACCGGGAATCGACCTCTGGACGATTGCTAGCTGGAAGTGCTTTCCAGATCCAGCACAAAACCACGCTGTAAAAAGGCGATTTGTCAGGAAGGCCTTCGCGAAGGCATGGCCCCTTAGGAAAAGACAACACTAACATAATTTGCTATAATCAAATAAACCAAACCTAAAATAGACTGGGAAGGAGTGGACCCAATCGCGAAATCAATGTGGTGGCGAAATATCGTTTGCCATCTTTCAGTCTGGGCGACCCTCTGCAGAGTCATTAGGTTTTTTCAAATCAGAAAACGTTAAGAATGTGCAATGTTTTACCCCAGATTCGAACTCCAGACCTCCCGATTGCTAGCTGGACGTGCGTCTACTTGCATCCCGGAGGCACACGATAAGAACAGTGAAAAACCATCACAATAACTTTTATGACTACATATAATTAATGACAAATTGTTTCAACAGATGACACGTCTAAACTGTCACAAATAATATGTCACTTTCAATTTCCTTAGCCAAAAATCAATCCCAAATCTTCCAAATGAATACAAAAGCAATCCAGATCAATCTATAATCAATAGATAGTACATCTAAACTATTACAGTAATTTACCACTTTGAGTTGTCTCAGTTCATGATATTAGCTTTAAACACCGTTTCTTTGGTCCACGATGGGGATGAATTCTTCCTAACAATGACTTTTATGATCGAACATTACCTCGTAACACATAAATTTGATTGCGATAGGATTCTTTTCACACTATTTGCTGAGGATTACAATATTTCGTTCTTGACTATGTTTATTTTGTTTTGAAGTTAGAAGAAACGGGTAGACACTTCATTTCTTATGATGAACGCTCCCACGTTCTCGAAGTAAGGTTACCAAGCGGAAAATCATTGTCTTGTTGGGGTCACGAACACTGGGGAGGATTTCTTTAAACGCTGTCATAATTTTGCTGTTAGAATGCGTTGCGAAGAAATGCTCAATGATAAAAATTCGTTCTGCTTGGGAAAACTGGCTCTCATTTTGCACTAAAAAAGGTTTTTAAAGCTGACAGCACAAACTTCAATTGAAATTCCAAGTGATATGGGACTTGTAACACTATAGTGTTGTCATCCATTGAACCAGTTTGCCATTTTGTAATTTCCGTAGTTTTTTAACGTTTGATGTTGGATCACCCTGCAGAATAGTGACTTTTCCCCCTCTCATGTGAAATTTCTTCGTTTAAATTCTACAATTATAATTTTTAAAAAAACTTGATAGATGATGAACTTTATCTATCCAAAAAATATATGAGTGCATTTCATTTGCTTGAATGGAAAAACGAAATTATTC